CACTGTGCCACGTAGCTGCCTTGTAAATGCCTAGGCAAGTTACTTAATCTCTCAAGATCCCAAACAATTCTCTAAGGCTCTTAAATTAAGCAAAGGAAGTTGGCTTGTCAACTTCCATAGATAGAAGACTTCTCAAACCAATAAGGGCTTAATCCCTATCCTATGGAGGAAAAAAAAAAGAGTAGAGTAGATGAGATGATTACTGATAAAGGAGAAAAGGTGGAACCATTCAACCCTTATTTTCCTTGTTATGGGGTTCCCCCCCCCCATCAAAGAAACTGATCTTTGGACTGTATCAGGCATAATAAAAATAGCTAATAGAGCTGATACCCAAGATAAGATATTTGCCCTTCAAGTTTTAGTCATCCATTACAAATGAAACATTTTAGGTCCTGAAAGAATCAGTGGATGTGACTGCTGAACTACAGTCAGAGATCTCTGAAAAATACTCAACAGAAGAGGTAGGTACCACAGGAAGATGACCAAATTTAAAAAAAAAAATTTAGAGTATATTCTACAAACCATAGGCCAGTGAAGCCGATTTCAATTAATTCCTGGCCAAATTCTAAAACGTCTAATACATATACACTTTGTAAACATCTAGGTAAGGCAGCATCAATCTGAGAGCCAACAGGGAGAAGTCAAGCCTCAAAGAAATGAGATCCTTTTCTTTCATGACAGGCTAACTCCAAAAGCAGTCAGGCCCTCAGTCACAAATGGTTCAATCAACCATTAACACTTATTAAGCACCTACTATGTTTGAGGCATTGTGCACTACGTCTGACATTAATATGGTGAGCAAACAAATGGGCAAGCCAGCCCAGGTGGCAAACAGCAGAATGGGATTGGCCTATGGGTAGCCCCTATACTTGCAGGCTTAGCAAGTCAGGACTTTTTTTTTTTTTAATAAAAACCAATTAGAGCTACACAAGAAGCCAGCAGACTCCCTCTATCACTCAGTCTTCAATCAAAGGGTAGGCCAACCTGTTTTACAGATTGTGAACGTAGCAAGCTCCTATTCAGGTTACAGGTTGGGCTAAGATGCTAGCTAGCTTCTAAAGTCCATTCCAACCCTGGTTCTGTGGGTAACAATTGTGGGGAATGTTGTAAAGGGGATTCTTGCTCAGGTATGGCTGGTATGTCCTGGATCAGTGGAGTCAAACTCAATTCGGGAAGCATAATGATTTAGAAAATAAAAAATTAACAAATCTACATTGCATTGTGCTTATTTGTTATTCATTTACCTTTTTTGTTCAGTCATGTCCAACTCTTTGTGCCTCATTTGGGGTTTTCTTGGTAGATACTGGAGTGGTTTGCCATTTCCTTTCTCCTGTTCATTTGACAGATTTTTGAGGAAACTGAGACAAACATGGTTAGGTGACTTGCCCAGGGTCACCCAGCCAGGAAGTATCTGTGTCCAGATTTGAACTCAGGAAGATGTGTCTTCCTGACTCCAGGCCTGGCACTCTATCCACTTCTCCACCGAGCTGGCCCAAACATTTCCCAATTAAACTTTTATCTGTTTCTGGAAGCACTGGTTGCTGGCCAACTTTGAGAATCTATGTTTCTATGTAATTTTGAGCTATTATTGTGTAAATTTTCCCCATACATTTCTGAGTGTTCATCCCCATCCCTGACATTCCCAATCCTCTCCCCAATTCGGATAAACTCTGAGATCAGTCTTTTATTATGCCATCCCTCTAAACTCAAAACCTGGCAATAATGCCTGATCCGTCAATTCAATAAATACTTAGAGATAAAGAAAAAAAAACTAAGCAACATTTATTAAGTGCCTATTAGGTGCCTGGCACTGTGCTAAGTGTTGGGTATAGAAAAGAGGCAAAAGATAGTCCCTGCTCTCGAGGAGCTTACAATCTATACTGGAAGACAACATACAAACAATTACATGCAGAGCAAACTATAAACTCGATAAACAGGAGATAACAGAAGGAAGCCACTGGAAATTAAGAGGGATTGGGAAAGGCTTCCTTTGGGTGAGGTTTTAGTTAGGGCTAAGGAAGACAGTCTAGAGTGGGATGGGAAGAATTCAGGCAAGACAAGTAGAAGCGATACCTGTGAGAAAAAGGACAGGTTAGCTGAACTATAGAGATGGTGGGAGCCAGGTTGTAAAGCATCTTAAAAGACAAACAGGGAAGAAGGATGTTTTGCAACGAGAGTAACTTCTCCTTTTCTGTGTCACACAAAATGAGGCTCTTTTGCTATTTTGTCTGGGATCAGAAATTCAGCTAGGTGAAAGGCAAAGATACTTAAGTAAAAGGGCTCTGAGAGATAATTCGAGATCCAAATTTATGAAGCTGCACACTCCCCCAGAGCTTTCAAAGGAAAAGAGGAAGACAATCCATCTGCTTTCAAGAATGCCCCTCCTCAGCGGCACTGCCTGCTCGCTTCCCCGGTGCTTTGAATGCCTAAGAATGCAATTGAGCTTTAAGAGATATTTTCTCTTCGTGTGCGACGTGCAGGACCATGGAAGCGTAATGGTGACCCAAATAAAAGAAGATGACTCGCACTCTCCCAAAGTCAAATGATTCAAGGAGTTGTTCCATCAATACTGAAGGACCCTTAGAATCCTGCTGTGAACCCCAACATTAACTTATCCTTTCGAGACTGGGTTATTCAAATGCCCCATAGAATCAATGAAAAAAAATTAAAAATAAGATTTTATTCCCAAAATTTGCCTTTCTCAAGTCAGAGCTTTAGAATTTGGCTTTATTCCAAAACGAGAAAATGCATTCCAAATTGCACTGGAAAGTTTCCACAGACACTCAATTACACCAGGCACTTAAGTCGAAGACCAAGAAATCTGCGACCCAAACCCTATCATCTATCTGACTACAGAATATAAATGCCACTCCCTAGTTCTCTAGAGACTAGCAGGTATCAAAAGGACTCATCACCTGCTGCAGCAACCAAATTTTTGCATCCCCCAAATTATGCGTAGCTACGAAAGCTGGAAAGGGAAGGGGAGATTAAATGCGAGGATTTGCATTTTAGCGCTCTCAAGGAAGCACCTTCTTTTCTCCCCCACTTCCCCCACTAGAACGGATTGCCTAGGGATCAAATCCCCAAGGCCAAGTTTCCATTTTTTAGTCGGTCAGTCGGTTAAGTGCCAGGCACTGTATACTAAGAAGTAAAGAACCGGACCGATTTCACAATTAGTAGATCCCACTTAAAAACAAAACAGACCTGAATTACTGGGAGGTGGGAGGCATGAAACAAGAAGGCAGGACCAGAATGCATCAGATACCATCTACAAGTGCCCCGGTGCTATCTTTCCTCTTGCAGCTGACAGAGCACAAGATATGCCTGGACATCTTAAAAGATAACTATCTCAGGAGAAGGTAGTCCTGAGACTATCTCAGGAGTCCAAGAAACCCAGGAATCAATCTCCCAAACTCAGAAATGCCTTGGACCCCATTAAAGAACAGAAGCCACTGTATTTACAATTACAGTGCAGATGAAGAAGACATCCGAGTACTTGCTTTATTGAAAAAAAAAAAAGGATGACTATAGATCAGCTTTATTTGTCTGGTGGATTCAAGCCCAATCTCTTTCAGTAGAATTCAGGAGCAGGTTCTGACGGCGACCTAATGAGTGAATATGTACTGGTTGATTTCAATCATTCTGCGTTTACTCTAAGAGATGTACCTTTTCAAACCAATCTGGGAAAGGGGATTAAGGGTATTATAAAGTGGAAGGGGCACTGCAAAGGAAAAGGGAGTATCGCAGAGAGGAAGGAGGTATTGCAAGTACATTTTGGAATAAGGGTTAAAAGAGAGGAGGGAAAGACCCTACTCCGATGCTGGCCGGTCCCCAGGCAGCTGACATGCTCCCCCGCCCCTGGGTGCAGGATTTCGGTTTTTTCTTAGCTCTCCGAGTTCCCGCAAGCCCGCCCTCAGAGGGCTGCTCGGCTGCCCCGCTCCTCCAGTGGCTCGCAGCGCTCGCGTGATGCGCCTTCCACCAGCTACCAGCTGAGCAGAGGAGGAGGGGAAAGGCGGAAGGAGCCCGAGCCCTGCAAGTCACGAGACTTTTCTCGGGCCCCAGCGGTACAATCAAGTTCAAAGTCGGGCCTAAGTCAGACCCAGAAGTGCGGAAAACTGCGAGGAGGAGGAGGAGGAGGAGGAGGAGGAGGCACCGACTGGGCAAGGACTGCAGCCCCGGCTTCCTTGCAGCTGACCACCAACCCCCGGCAGAGGCAGTGCAGGCATCAGGCTCTTCGGAGAGATCCTGCTCTCCGGGTTTTCCTCTCGTCCTTGCTTTCCTGAATGAGCCGCCGGGCTGGGCACGCCCGCGACGCCCCCCTTCCTGTCCGAGAGGCGCACGTGGAGGGGAACGAGCTTTAACCCCCCACCCCCCAAGCCCCCAGGCTATCTCCCCTCCTCCCTCTGGAATTTCCCCCCTCCATCCCTCCCTCTACTGACACACACCCAGGCGCAGCGGAGACGCAGGGCTCCAGACTAGGAACGTGAGCCCGGATGGTGTCAGGTTGCGCCAACCCTCTCCGCGCCCCCGTCGCCCCCCACAGAGAGAGGAGCAGCCTCGACAGTCAGAGCTCTACCCGGATGCAACGAATTAAGCCCCTACCGCTTCGCCGCAGGCCCCCGCCTTCCCACTCCCGTACTCCATCTAGCCAAGCATGCCTCCTCCATCCTCCCCGAGCACCTAGAACCAAAGCTACCCCTGACTCCGGAGTTGGAAAGGAGCATGACCACCTGCAGCTCCAGAACTAAGGCAACCCCTCCCCCCAAGCCCTCCTCCAGTGGGCTCCTCCTTCCACGCTCCAACTCCCCACCCGCAACAGATCCCAGGACCACCCGAGCAGCCCGCCTCGAACACAAAAGCGTGCTTCTCCCGTCGCAGTCACACAATAGCTCTTTCCAAAGGGTTCACGTTTAAACAAGCCAAGACACAAAGGCTAGAGGAGAGGCGCACGTCCACGCCGTAGGTCCCTCCCATCCCCCTGGGGGCTAGAATTCCCGCACCTCGGTACCTACGTCTTGGCAACGAAGGACGGTGATCGATTGGAATCCATATCTTTTGCATCCGACTCTGAGTCAGCTCCATGGGCATCTTCACTGTGAGGTTTCGGTGTGGCACCACCCCTTCCCTACCCAAACTCACTAAATTTACAGATCAAATTTGGAATCAAAAGACCTCAGAAGACAAAGCGGAAGAAGGGGTGGAAGATGCGTACGGGTGGATACAACCACGCTGTGCGATCTTTAAAAACAACCAAAAAAAAGTCTTGCAAAAAAAAAAAAACCCGAGCCTTGCAACGCGTAGGCAAAGATTCTAAACCTGAGCTTTCTTCCCAGATCTCAGCTTAAATAGTCCCCACCCTCGGAGCGGCAGCACGAGCAACGTTGAGTTAGGGGGCTGCCCCGTGTCTCTGGTGATTGATGCTACAGAGGCTTCACGAGGCTCTAAGATGACTGCGAGCAAACGAGCTGTCCCCACCCGACCTTTTTTGCCTGAAGACGCACGCTTGCAAGCGAGCCTTCAGGGCCAGAGACTGTCTGCTTTCCGGGTCTCCTTTTCGTTTCTCTCTCTGGTACTGCACTGATGCCTCGCTGACTGAGGCTATTTCTAAGACTTGACGACGCCGGCCGGCATCCACGCCCACCGACCGCCCCTGGGCGGGGAGAACATTCTGTCCAGGCTAGGGAGGAGAGAAATAAAGGGTAATGAAGGAGGGAGGAGAGCGTTCGGCTGCTGCCCCCTCCCGGCTGCCCAACTCACTGGTTTATTAAATGGAAAGTAAAATAAGGCGCCCCATAGGTCCACCCCTCCCCCTCTTGCTATCAGAAAGGTACACAATCTAGTCACCTCTTTTGGTAAATTCCCATCTCCTCCCTTCCCCATATGGCAACTGACATCCTAGCCCTCGTAAAAATGAATACAGCTTCCTAGCAATCAAAGTTACTTAACTCGAGTAGGGAGAGGCTTTTAGCAATTTAAATAGACTGATCTCTTTCTTGTAAGGTGAGTCATGGATGGGAGAATGTAGAATGAGATAGATCACGTTTCCTTGAGGAGGAATGGAGGCTTTCTATATTACGCAAAAATGTTTGCGATGATTTAAGGGGAACACGAAAAGCGATCACTCCTCTCCCCACACACCTCGTCCCCCAAGAAACCATTTAATACTTTCCTACCAAGTTCTGGGGCTCTACTTGTAGGTTCTCATCCCGGATGTTACCTCTGCCCCAAACCTGAAGTCTTGGTAGTGAGGGTACTGGACTGAAGCAATCACCGTGATGCCCAATCCCACCCCCACCCCCATCTTCCTATTTCTTACCCCATTCGCCTCCTGGATTCGTAGCTGCTTCGAAACTACTTTCCCCAACCCTTCATGTCACAATGACTCTGGAACCTTGACGAAGAATTCAAAGAGTGGGTAGTGGGGGTTGAGTGCTGAGCACAAAGTAAAGTGACAAGGCCAGTCGAAGGAATGTATTAATGAAAAGAGAATTAGGGACACAGCTTTGGCATTTCATCCCAGGTGGAATTAATTCTCCATTCCTTACAATTCTACACCTTTCAGAAACTATCCAATTAGATTTGCAGTAGAATGAGAATACCTTGAGAGCAGGGCCTAATTGGTTTTTTGCATTCTGAAGACCTAGTACATTATCTAGCAGTTAGCACCTACTTAATACTTAATAAATTTAATTTTCAAATTACTGGCTTTATTAAAATATCACATGTACCATATTTTATACATATATATATGTATATATATTCCTTTGCTACAACAATGCAAAGTAGTATAGGCAATAGTCTATCGATATGAGGACTATATCAATATTATCAATAATTGTCATAATTTCATATAAATAATTTTTTATAAATTTGGGTACATCTCAAAATATATCGACGTTGATAGGAAGTGAAACAACCTGATATAAAACAAAATTGCTTGCATCAATCAAACAGGGAGGGCAAAGAAGCACAGAAACTGCTTTACGAAACTGAAATTTCAGACAGAAAAGTATACTCTGCTGCTTCCACACGTCTGACACGTCCCGCATGACTCCACTGGGAAGTCACTCTCCCTCCCAAGGCTTGCCAATTTCTCTCGAGCGCCCCATCCGCCGCTGGAGGCATCAGTTGGTCCAGACATCTCCCTAGCGTCTGCTCCACCCCGCTTTACTTCCTCATACCCTCTTCTCCCCGGGCTGCCACCTCCATCTCAGAAAGCAAGGGCCATCTGGCTGGGTAGCTACCGACCCCCTTCTCCATTCGCAATACCTAACGCTCCCACGTCTCCCAAGCTTTCTCCTTCTCTCCGTGCTTTGCTGACCGCAGCAGACTAGTTTCTTGTGTAGCTGCCTCTGAAACCTGAATCCAACCTTGGTCTTGTTTTTAATGCATTTCAAAAAATACTGCTGAATATACACCCCAGGACTCTAGAGGAAAGTCCCACTCCAACTGAGCCCGACTGTAAAAGAGCAGAGGGTGAAACACAAGGGAAGCTTTTATATTTATTCGATTAGAGAATTCGCCGGTGGGGGCCGGAGGATTGTTGGTTGGGAGAGTGAGGAATTTAAACGCCTACTACATATTCCTTTCTAAAACTAGATGACTCGGAGTAACCAAGACCTGGGTTCAAGTCGCATTTACTAGTTGTGGGTCCCTGGGTAAGTCATTTAACCTCTCTGACTCAGTTTCCTCATCTGTAAAATGAGGTTCGGCTCTAACTCTATTATGCTATGATTCCCTCATTTTACAGAAGAGGAAACAGACCAACAGAGTTAAAGTGACTTTCCCAACATCATCTCACTAGTTTCATGGCAGAACCAGGCTCAAACCACGTTCACAGGCTCGTAGCACTAAAGTTGGAAGGGATGTGAAAGGTCATTTAAGTCTAAGCTCCTCATTTTTCATACACGAAACCTGAGGGTGGTGAAGTGATCTGCCCAAGAGGCCGCTAGGTGGTGCAGTGGTTAGAAGGCCTGAAGCCAGGAGAATTTAAATCCAGACTTGGTAGCTATGTGACCCTGAGAAAGTTCCTTCACCTGTCTGCCTCAATTCCCCCAACTGTAAAATGAGGATAATAGTAGGACCCACCAATAGGGTTGTTGTAAGTATCAAGTGAGATAATATTTGCAAATCTCCTAGCACATAGCAGGCACTTAATAAATGCATATTTCCTTTCTAGGTCAATTATCAGGGGCAGAATCTGAACCCAGGGCTTCTGGCTCAGAAAATAGCTACGTGGTTTGGCTCCTGCTATTACTACAACTGTGTTAAAAATTCATTCTGTGTGAAAAGCAGCTATGCTGAAATTACTCTTACTTTATGTAATTTACTAGTGTCTCATGGAAAATTAAACAATGATATTCCTCTTTCATATGAATTTCTTAAACATAAAGGTAAAAGATAGAATAAAAGTGAATTTATTTAAGTCTTTCTTTCCTGCAAACTTGAACAGGGCTATTGTCCTTTTAATCCTTGGAAAAAAATTATTTAGCAGCACTGCTCCAAATATGGGAACAGGTGCCAAGTGCAGATCATCGTGTGGAGTGCTGGGGAAGGGGGAAGGCGAAGGCAGAGGGGACACTGCCATTTCCTGTCCAAGGAGACTGGGTAACAAACACAACTAGCTATAATATTCCATGTTATACACCAATGCATTAGGAACTGGCAGAATAAAATGCACAAGTATGGGCAGCCAGGGGTGAGGTGGGTGGGAGGGGTGTCATGTCAGAAAGGAGGTTAGGTAAGGCTCCTTGGAGGAAGTGGAGAGGGGAGGGAGAATCAAGGTCCCTTCCAGCTCTTCATCCATGATCCTATGCCCTGCCTGAAGACTGATTCAGAGGCAATGCGATATGAATCAAAGGAAAGTAAATTTTACTTAGGAGGTGATATCAGAAGCAGAGTGGGAATGAGAGGAGGCAGCTGCTGGGGATTACTGAGTGATATGACCAAGTCTATGCATAAGAAATATTTTGAACATGGGCTGAAACGTGGAAATAGAGAAGGGTGAGAATACAATTGGAAAAACCTATAAGGAGAGTTTTTGCAATAGTTCAGGAAGATGGTAATGAAGGCCAGAACTAGACTGCTGGTAATGGGAATAGAGTGAAAGAAGGGGATGTAAGCAATGGTACTGGGCTGAGAAACAATTCATCTAGCGTTGCCAGTCCACTCCCTAACTGTAAAACAATTGTCTAGGATTTCTTCAATGAAAATAAAATGTCAACGCCTTTCTTCTTATTACCTCCATCGGCACAGATTCTATATTCTAATAATATTATTATATTATTATTCATAAGTTCTATTCATATAGTCTAATAATATATATTAATATAATAATATTCATATATCCTAATAATATTATTTTTGGAACTTGAAAGAATCTCTGAGATCACCTAGTTTACTTCTCATGTTAAAATGAGGAAACAGGTTCACAAAGGTAAGGAGGGTCATATTTGTAGAACTGGAAGCAACTTTTGAGGAACCTCCTTATTTTGTAGATGAGGAAACTGAGGCCCAGACTGACTAAATGTCTTACAGGCTAAGGTCACATAAGTGGTAAGGATAAAAGGAAGGATTCGAACCTAGCGCTAGGATTCTTTCCATTAAACCACACTGCCTTCCTTTAATTTACCCAAGATCATACAGTAAAATAATAATAGTTCAGGCCTCCTAACTCCCAGCCTAGTTCTCTTTCCACAACATTCTGCCCGGGCAAATCTAGGAACTTGGGAGTGAATTCAACTTCTACCCCATTCCATACACCTTCCCATTTTTAATATCTAAGAGATTATTTTCCCCCATACTCACTAATAAAAAAAAGTGGTAGAACTTGAAACTATCACATATGAGGATGGATGGAAAAAGCTGAGAATATATAACCTAAAGATGAGGAGATTTGGGTGGAAGTTCGGGAAGAAAGACATATAATCCTCGTTTTCAAGTATGTCATAGAATCATAGGATTTTATTTTATTTTTCGTGAGGCAATTAGGGTTAAGTGACTTGCCCAGAGTCACACAGCTAGTGAGTGTTATGTGTCTGAGGCCACATTTAAACTCAGGTCCTCCTGACTCCACAGCTGGTGCTCTATCCACTGTACCACCTAGCTGCCCCAAATCATAGGATTTTAGATACAGAAGCTAAATGCCCAGGGACATACAGGTGAGAAGTAATAAATCAAGGGTCCCCCTCAGTAGAAACTATAGGACCATAGGGTTTACAGTTCAGGGAATCTTAGAAGTCATCTGGTTCGACTCCCTTCATTTTACAGATCTCACAGGTATTAAGTTGCAGAACTGGGACATAAACTGAAGTCCTTTGACTGTAACATCATCCTACTGGAGTGAAGATTCTTTCACCTCAAATCTACTCTTCATAAAGGTGCAAACTTTCCTTATGCACAGACGCACCATTATTCAAAACCCAATTGTCTACCAGGGTGGCCTGGTGGAAACATTATTGGAATTGGAGTCAGAGAACCTGGGTTTGAATATAGCTCTATTATTTGCAATTAGGTCATCTTGAGCAAGTCATTTATCTCTCTGGGCCTCAGTTTCCTCATCCATAAAATAAAGATATTGTTCATTTAGACTAACCATTGGTTCTCAAATTATGGTCTGAGGACCCATGGGGGTCCTGAAGACCTTTGCAGGGGATCCTTTCAGTAAAAAATAATTTCATAATAACACTAAGACAACAAAACTATTTTTGTAATAACATTAAGACACTATTTGCTTATTAAAATATTCCTCTTTTTTTCCAACAACATATCTGTGTGAGGCTGCAAGTTCTCCATAAATTTCAACCAAAACACCATATTGAAACGGATTGAATGTAGAAGCAGATATGAGAAGCCAATTGTCTTCTATTGTTAGACAATGAAAGGATTTGCAAAAATATGTAAAACAATGCCAACCCTAGCTAATTTTGTTTTATTTTGGAAAAGTTATTTTTTTCATAAAATGTTATTTATATTATTAACATGTAACGAGTTTGTTTTTTATTATCTTAATAATGTTTAAAATTTTATCAGTTTTACTTTTTAATACTATTATCTATGTTAACAGACATAACTCCCATAAACAAAAACTCTTTGGGGTCCTCTATAATTTTTAAGAGTATAAAGGGGTCCTGAGGCCAAAAAGTTTGAGAATCACTGACCTAGACAATCTCTAAAGTCTCTTACAGCTCTAATTACTATAAACCCCATACTCAGTTGGGCACATACATCATTCAACAATATAGCCCCCACTTCCCTTTCCAATCAGACTTATTTCCCACTACTCAGTTTCATAGAGTCTATGTTTATTTT